AGCCGCCGCTGCAGCAGCCCGTACTCCTGCAGCAGGGTCCCCAGCACGGCCCACTTCCCCTCCAGCTGGTTGCCGAGCTCCACAGCCGTCTTCTCGCAGTCGGCCAGCTTCTTCTCGGCTGTCCCTGCACGGCCCTCCAGAGCCAGCAACCGGGCCAAGCAGGAGTCTACCTTCTGCTCCACAGCCTGAATGGCGGCCACCACGGTCCACAGCGTGATCTCCGTGGAGTAGAGGTACGAGCTCTTCTTGGTGGCTGGCAAGGGGGACGGACAGGGTGTTGAAGGGTGTTGGTCCCCCATTGGCTTGTCTCTCTCCGGAACCTGCTCACAAGATGGGAAAAGACAGCATTTACCAAAATTATACAATCAAAACTTCCACCAGGAAACTCTGAATGACACCATCCCTGGCAAAGCCCCTCTGGGAGCCTTTGGGCCAAAGGATGGAGGCTGGGACATCAGTCAGGAATGCAGACCTGGTGACAGGCGACAGTGGCTGCCCGATGTGCTAGTGGGTGGAAAGCAGGAGGGACAACACGGCCAAACAGCAAAGTGTCTACAGTCCTGGACAGGTGCTCTCCTCCTTGGGCCTCAGTTCGTACCTCTGGAAAGGAAGAGATGAGGATGACAGCCTAGATGAACTCCAAACCCTCATGCACAGGCTGGCCAGCTGGGCAGGATTTTTAATCACCCTTCAATTTTACTCCCACATCTACAGAAGGGTGATGACAACGGGACCTATGTGATATAGGGAAACAAGTAATCCAAAAGATGATATAGGGAAAGTAATCCAAATAAGCAAAAATAATCCAAACAAGAGAAGTATTATAGCTCCAAACCTGCTGGACATCCAAAATGGGAGTTCATTTTCACTAAAATCGAAGAATGAATTCTAGGAGCAACGGAGTCTAAGAGTAGGAAAAATTTATTGACAGATAGCTTCTAAGAGAACAGAAGGGGGACCAGAAAGTGGGTTATCTGCCCACCCCATTTTTCAAAGGCGTTTTATGGGGAAGAGCCACAAGGTGAGTCAGGTACAAAGTGGGACAAAACTATTAGACCTAGTGGAAAAATCACAAGGTGGGCGTGAGGTGGGACAAAACCATGATCAACCAATAAGATTACAAGTGCAGTCACCCAGGTAATATCGATTAAATGGGGATCCAACAGGAAAACAAGTCACTTACAAGCTTTTTCTGGAGAGGAAATGGGCTAGGGAGATTGAATATCAATCACTATTTAGAGTATCAATCACTGTTATTCATCTCTGGGGAAGTAGGTAAGTGCAGTAGTTTTTCTATTTTTATAATGTTAACCAGCGAACTTGCCTCAGTTGTTTTTCTATGCTGAGGGCCCAGCTTTGTCTAACTGCCTTATAATAATTTCTAACAGGACTGTGAGAATTAATGAGACAGTCTTTGTAAAAAGCATGTCATGCCATGTCTTGCACTAATAAATAAGTGAACATCTTCAGTAACAAGTGTGTGTAGTCTGCTGTTTGGGCTAAAATGATGATAGCTGTGGACTGAATGTTGGTTTCCCTCAAATCTGCATCTATTTTTGTTTTAGTTTGGTTTGGTTTTTGAGACAGGGTCTTGCTTTGTAGTTCAGGCTGGTCTCAAACTCACTACATAGCCAAGGCTGGCCTTGAACTCACAATGATCTGTCGGGAGCAATGCTACATAATTTTAGGGAAAAATCATTTGGTTAGCTTAGTTCTGCCTACAGCCCAGCTATGGAATTCCGAGACATAATTCCATTTTGGCCTATGGTCACAAATGAGACCTCAATGATCTGGTGATGCTGTGATTCCCCAGGACAAGAAACATCCTGAGAGCTGAAAACATCCTGGGAGGAACAAACATCTACTCAGTTCCTCCTTGTTCTTGGATTGTTACATCTTATTTACGCAGGATGTACTGAACTCTCTGCAAGTCATTTGTTACACTTTGTTTCTCCTGATGTACTGAATAAAAGGGGCAGTAAACTGGGGGCTTTTGTCTTTGGCGCCCAGAGCGGCACTGATCGGACCCAAAACTCAGCTTCTTCTCAGTCTCATTTTTCTACCTTTTCCTGTAATTTGCCTTGTGCTGCCGTGGCTCACAGGAGACTAGGACTTACTGCAGAGGTTCTAATAATGTCCCCTTTCCCTGTTCCCTATAATGATCCTCCTGCCTCAGCCTCCCAGAGTGCTAGGATTACCTGGCTTCTATTCCCAACTTTGAAGAGAGCTTCCCTTAAGCCTGGGATTTAACTCAGTGGTTTTGCCGCCTGCTGCGCAAGCTCAAGGACCTGAGTTTGCTCCCCGGTACCAAAAAACAGAGAGCATCCTTCACAGCAGAGATGTCCAATAACTATTTACTGAATGAATGATTGAACAGCATTCATTCAGTAACAGTTACCGAACAACTACCACAGTAAAGCTACAAGCAGCATGTAGAAAAATCAATGTGGTTCTTTCTTCTTCAAGAGAAAAATCCTGCATAGAAATGCAATCAGACCCAGATTGGTGGTATATGCCTGTAATCTCAGCACTCAGGAGACTGAGGCAGGAGGATCATTGCAAGTTCAAGGTCAACCTGGGTAACATATTGAGACCCTGTCTCAAGAAAAAGAAAGGGCTGGGGATTTAGCTCAGTGGTTCCACCGCCGCCAGCGTCATAAGTGCAAGATTCTGAGTTCAATCCCCGGTACCAAAAAAAAGAAAACACAAAGAAAAAGAAATGCAATGGGCCCAGAGGCTCTACCTCCAGGATTCAACCAACTGCAGATAAAAATATTTGGAAAGAGGGTTGGGGATTTAGCTCAGTGGTTTCACTACCTGCTGTGCAAGTGCAAGGACCTGAGTATGATCCCTGGTACAAAAAAAAAAACCAAAACACATACATATATATTTTTTTTTTTGAAAAAGTTGCACCTGTGTACATACTTTTTTTTTCTAAACAGCACAGCATAATACGTATGTGTCATTTTCACTGAATCAGGTAGAGATGACTCAGGATTTGGGGGACATGCACAGGCTATGAGCAGATACGGTGCCAGTGGATTTAACAGCTGTGCTCACAGGAGTCAAGGCCAGTGTGTCCTGGGGGCTGGGTTCTGAAGGATGGAAAGGAGCAGGGAGGTAGGATAGTCAGGCCCAGCTGGGGGGCTGGGGATGTCACCTGCACAGCTACAGGAAGGCTGCCCAGCTCCACCAGGACCAGGGCCAGAAACCTGCAGAAGCCCCAGCCCTTTTTTCTCCTTTGCACTCTGGGAACATGGAAGGACACAGAGCAACCTCTCTAACAGGAAAGGATACTTAGTTCTGTTTAAAAAGCATCCAGGAAGCTGGAGACAGTGATGCACACCTGTAATCCCAGCACTCTGAGAGACTGAGGCAGGAGGTTGGCAAGTTTGAGCCCAGCCTGGGCAATTTAGTGAGACTCTGTCTGAAAATTTAAAATATAGAAAGGGTTGGGAGCCATGGCTCAGTGTGAAGACCCTGGGTTCAATCACTACTATTGTCAAAAAAAAAAAAAAAAAAAGTCCAAGAAAATGAAGAACCCCAAAACGCTACTGAGAAGTATTAACAATAGTAGACAGCACGTTTATTGAGCTCCTTACAAGCGTTTTTCCAGTATGTCAAAAATGACCAAAGGATCCATTAATCTGTATAATAATTAAAGGATTACTTTCTCTGAATTGGTTATACTGCACATTTTAAAACCAGTGTTCTAAAACTGCTAAAAAGCCCGGCGTGGCGGTGCACACCTGTAATCCCGGCACTGGGGAGGCTGAGGCAGGAGGGTCTCAGAGTGGGAGATCAGCCTGCACTACACAGCAAGACCCTGTCTTGAAAAATCAAATTGCTAATGTAATTTCTAAACGGGGGGTGGGGGTGGGGGTTTGCAAGCAGCGTATGGCATCACTCTCTTAGGTAAGCAGCCCGTTAGGTATCTCGGATGGTTCCCCTGCGGAGATCTGCCCTGACCCGGCCCGACATCCCTGGACGGCGACCCGGGCCGCCCCTTCCGCTCCCCGGCCTCGCGGCCTCAGCTCTCAGGCTGCCCGGGCCGCGGCGCCTCAGGCAGGGGGCGAGGGTTGGACCGCGTGATCGGGGCCTGGGCAGTAGCTTACCTGGCCGGGCTCCGCTTCGGCTGCAGCGGCCGCGTCCTCTCGGGGCTCCGTGCTCGGCGGCCTGGGGCCTGTGCGGGTGTAGGGGAGGCGCTGCCCGGCTTCGGTGCTGCCCGGAGGCCGCGAGCTGCGTCCCGAGATACGAGCCACGTGCCCCGCTGGCCCTTTCTAAAGAGCTGCGGGCCGCGGCGCCTGAGGCCGCGCACAGCGCCCCCTGCAGGCCGTAGGACCGCGCGTCTCGGGGACCGGAGGGGCGGGACGCGAGGGGCGGGCGCGGGTTCCCGGGGCCCCATTGCTCCAGCGAGCGCCTCGAAGACCCCAGAGAAGAAGCGCGCGTCGCGAGCTTGGCGAAGCCAGGAAAAACATACAGGTAGGTGTTCAACTCCCCTTTAGTTTCTCAGCACAAATGGGAAGATCTATGGAGAAACTGGTTTCAGTTAAAAAAGAAAAGGCTGGGCCGAGAATTTAGCTCAGTGGCAACGAGCCTGGCTGGCAAGCGCAAGGTCCTGAGTTCGATCCTCTGCACAAAAAAAAAGGCTTAGCGGGTGTAGCTCGGTGGTAGAGCGCTTGCCTAGCAGGCGAAAGGACCGTTTATTCTCTGTCCTGCATACAGAATTAAAAAGAATTAAGCTGTATCATGTACGCGTACCAACCCTCACAATGAGTGTGATCACCATGTACTGGAAACATGGACTAAGAAAAATAAAAATCACACACACACACCCACCCAAGCCGTTTTCTAGGATCCTGGCCTCTTTGGGGTCTCTCCCTTCTTCTGGGTTCTTATCTTGCGCCAAGCATCTTCCTCAGAGGCCCTGTGCCTCTTGGCCACACCCAGGCAGGACCTGCCCCTCTCCTGCCCACTCAGGAGCCCTTCAGCCTAGGATCCCGGCCAGATCACAGCCAAAGTTCATCTGTCACCAGCGTGGCTGGCTGGGGGCATCTTGACTAAGCCAGTCTGGCGAGGTTTTCCTCCTCTGTAGCCCAAGAGCTTTATTCCGAAAAACCAGAATTAACCCCTGAATGTACATTAAAATGTAGTATGTGCAGTATGTTTTCTTTTTCTGCATTTCCCGTTCATCTAGAGTCTGTCTTGCAAGCCAGAAAAATGTTCCCACTAGAAATTAATTAGCATTCTTTTTCCTTTGAATATTTGAGATTCTTTCTTTTGTTGGGTGAGGGGGGTTACTTCCCAAATGTTTGATCCAAACAAAAGTATGGTCAACTAAAAACCTTATACCCCCCTCCCCCAGCATTTGGGGCACAGTTAGGAGGTGTTACTTCAAGGAAACACAATCCCAAACGATATTTAGCATTTTTGTTTTGGAAATTCTTGTTGAGACAACTTGCAAATGTGTGCTGAAGATATTAAGACCCTTCATAGGATTTCATCATGGGTCAGTGCCTATTTTAAATACTAAAATAGTGGTAAATTCTGCAAACAGCAAGAGTCTGGAAAATGGATTGGAGCAAAAGAAAATGTTAGTGTTTAACAAGCTCTGCCCCAGGAAGAGAGCTGTAATTCTTGACAGTTGGTCTGTGTGTGTGTGTGTGTTTCCCTTCTTTCCCTTTTTATTCGGTCCAGGCTACAAGCCTATTGGTTGGTGCCACCATTCCCAGGGTAGGACTTCCATTATCCACACCCAGAACTCTGCTAAACTCATTTAGTTATTGGCCTTAGTGTTTTAGAAAGCGCCTCCCATCACATGTACCTGGAGCACTTGCCAAAACATTGCTGGGCACAAATGGTAGTGTTGGGGGGGTTGATGAGAATTTGCACTAGTTTCCCCAATCCTGTTTGTCCTGTTTATCAGCTCCCCAAACTACCATTCTCATTCTGATTTTCACATTACAATGTGGTTGTCTTCCCAGACTAGTCTGGGTGTCAGGCCAGGTGTGGTGCTGATATAAAATTACTCACATCCTTAATTATTAATCTGTCTTTTACAGGGTTGGATTTTTCTTTTAAATCAGCTCTCCAGGCCTGGCGACCTCTGGGTGAACAGTTCTGAACTTCGGATGCTTGGATTTCTCATGTGCACACAGAATGATAAAGATGTCAGGAGGGAAATGTGGAAGGAAAGGGAGATCAGAGGAGCCCAGTCCCCTTCCTGCCTGGAGCCCTCCCCATAGCAGGCAGCACTGCACTGTCTGTGAGGTTCCACCATGCTCTGGAGCCCACACATATTCGGGGAGCACCTCAAGGGGGCTGTGACACAGACACACTCCCAGCTTCCAATCGTCCCATCTGCAGACTCTACCTATGACCTGGTCCTCACTTCCCACTGCAGCTGCGCCCATCGGGTCTCCACTGACTCCTGCTTGGTCTCTCAGAAACCCAAAGCCCCAAAACACACACCATAACTCTTATTAGCTGAAACGCTCCCAGATCAGTGATGGAGTCCGCCATAGTTATGGTTAACCTTCTTCCGCTCCATTACCAGCCGCAAAAACCCAGATGCTCAGCCTGACCCACCCTGTTCGCCACACCCACACCCACTCTCGGCCTTGCTGGAGGAGCTGCTGTCCGTACCTGCCCCTAACTTCTGCTTTGGTCATGTGGCCTCCACTTAGAATGTCCTTGCTGTCCTTAAGGGCCAGTTCCAAGGCACCTCTTAAGGGGAGGAGGTGGGTAACAGGGCAGGTGGAGAACAGGCCCCGTAGTACTGCTACACAGGAGTAGGTTCTGATGGTGTGCTCCATGTTTTGTAAAGAACTAGAATCAAATGTTTGGAGAGATGGAAATACTAACTACCCAGACTTGATCGTTACACATCAGCTACACAGATGAAGCCACCACAATGTACCCGCAATTATGTCACTTCTAAAGCCTCCTCGATGTCCTTTGTCTAAAATAATTGTCCTCTGAATTTCACAGCCCTTTAAGGCTCACTGAAGACAGCCTTTTCTGCCTTGTCTTAGCTCTCCTTAACAGCTGCTAAGCTCAGATCTCTTACCTATAATCCCTCCCGTGTGAAATGTTGCACCCACTAAGGCAAAATGGAATAGTGTGCTAGTCTAGGAAAGAGCCATGCAAAAGTAAAGGAGTGGAAGAAACCTGGTTTGGTTTTGTTTTTTTTTTTTGGTACCGGGGATCGAACTTGGGTCCTTGCACTTGTGCAGCAGGCAGCAAAACCACTGAGCTAAATCCCCAGCCCCATGGTTTGGTGTTTTTTTTGATACCGGGGATCAAACTTGGGACCTTGTGCTTTCGAGGCAGGTGGCAGAACCGCTGAGCTAAATCCTCAGCCAGAAACCTGGTTTTTATTTGTCTTCTTGAGACAGGGTTTCACTATGGAGTTCAGGCTAGCTCTGAACTATGTAGCTCAGGTTGGACTCAATTTGAGGTGATCCTCCTGCCTCAGCTTCCCAGAGCACCAAGATTACAGATGTGCACCACCTCTATTAGGGCCTTAGCTGTGGAGCCAGGAAAAGGGACATGTGACACTGCATCCCCCTGTGCTTGATGCTCTGTTTTCTGTCTCCTCAGCTCGTCCAGGGCAGGCTTTCCCCGAAGGACAGTAGTAGCACTCAGGAGGCCCGTGTGTTGCCTCCCCTGGGCCCGTGTACAGCCACCAGGAGCTCAAGTCAGAGTTCCAACTTGGAGATGGGGGGCCCAAGGCCCAGTGCCTCCCGCTGGCAGAGACCACACTGTGGGTGACCGGGACTCAGAATGCAGCCCTGACTCTGCGCCAAGTGCAAGAGCCAGAGCACCCTTCAGGTGAGCTCTGATAGGCCTCTGAAGGAAGATGGTTCGGCTCACGTCCCAGCCTCCTTACCACCCTTCTCTGGTCTCCTCCTGCACCTCTGTAAACCAGAGATCATACTACACAGCGCTGCATGGGGAGTTGTTTTTCTGTAAAGAACTTAAAACCATGCCCGGCACAGGAGCACTCAGCAAATAGCACCCACGGTCCAACTGCTTAACACAATTATGTCCTTGTCTCAAGGAAGTTAGCTTTGCTGGAGAACTGAGGCTCTACCTTGTATTTTGCCCTTTTCCCCAATTCCAGGCAGGAGGCTGGCTGCGTTAAACTACTCAACACCTGGGAGATGAGAATATTTAAGTGCGGAACAGAGAAGGTATCATAGTGCCAAGGCTACGTGTGTCTAAACCAACATTTTTTATTTTTTGGAATACGGTCTATTCCAGGCTGTACTTGAACTATGTAACTCAGGCTGGCCTCCATTCACAGTGATCCTCCTGTCTCAGCCTCTCTAGGGCTGGTCCACCAAGCCCAGCTTCCTAAACGAACATTTCTAACAGCTGCCTAGGACTTCTGAAGCACCTGCCCTACTTCACAACGATTAGCACCGGATGGGGTCAGCTCTCTACCAACCCCTGCAGTGGGGTCCTGGACTATTCACACCCAGGCCCTCTTCTCGTCTTGTCCTACACCTAAGTGCAGGTCAGCCTGCACTGCCAGGCCCATCACCCCTCCAGAGGAGGGTCCTATTATGGCTGATATTCAAAGTGCCTCCTAAAAGCTGGTGGGTGGGATGAGGAACCGAATGCATCATGAGGGCTCTAACTTCATCAAGGGGATTAATCTGAATTAATCCATTCCCAAGTTTGATAGCTGAATGGCCACACGTGGGGTGGGGGGCTGTGTCTCTAGGGCACATCCTTCCCAGCCCACTCTTCTCTGCCTTCCTATTTCCTGGCTTCCCTGAGATGCACAGCTTTCCTCTGCTGTGCTCTTCCTGTGCTCTGTCTCCGACCCAGCTGACCATGGACCTTTGAAACCATGAGCCAAAATACACTTTCCTTCTTTACGTAACTGGTCACAGCTACAAAAAGCAGCCCAACCCCACCCCAGAAGACTGATCTTGATAGAAGGAGAACATAAGCCCAGTTTTTGCTAGTAAGTTTTATTCTAGGCAACTGCAGATCATTCAAGGGGAGGTTCCCATCTGGCCTAGGAGCCCTCGCCCAGCTCCCAACAGTGGGGCAAGCACTCCACACTCCGGAACCATCTATCTAGTGAGTCTCTATCCTCGCTGGGGCAGGACTTGCCCTCAAGAAGTGAAGGGTACAACAGGAACAAACTCAACCCCCAGCACAAGCTGAATGATCTCAGGCAACCAGACAGTCTCCTACCCTTGAAGGCTGCAGAAACAGCTCAGCGGGGCTGGGAGAGGGGCCCTGTGTGGCATCAACTCGCCCAGAACCAGAACCAGAACCTCACTGGGCTCCTCAGGAACCTTTCTTCAGCAGTGGCTTTGGGTCCCCCTCCTACTCTCTCACACACTCTCTCTCTCTCTCTCTCTCTCTCTCTCTCTCTGTCCTCCGGAGACAATCAGTGTCAGGGCTGAGAGCCTGGCTGTGTCTCTGTTCCCCGACTCTGGTATGTGTGAGTGGGCTAAAAGCCCCATTAACTACTCCCTCCTAGAGGGCAGGCCCAGTCCCCAAGTTAGGAACAACTTCTATGACTCTTGAAATTTAAAAAACAAATGTTGCATTATATTTTTTAAATCAACTAGAATCTAACTCCAAAAAAACAGTCTTCAGAGGGGTAACTGCTCACTTAAATTATTTCTTCTACTCATTATTAACAGAGAGGACAAAAGAGGACGTGGAGGGAGCCTTCCCAGAATTTGTCCTCGTCCTACAGCTGCTCACCGGCACGTGGCCCTGTGGCTCAGCAGCCAACCCAGCCCAGAGTATCAGAGGACCGGGAAACCAGAGAAACAAAGGGCCAGTGCCAGCAGAACCAGCGGCAAGCCAAGATGCAGGAGAGGTGGGCACTGGCCCCTCCTCTTCCACATGGTTTCAGGACAGCCTGGGCCTCAGCCTGGCACTCAGGTGTGGGAAGGCAGTCCGGAAGCAGTCAATCCCTGGCTAGCATGGTATTTCGGGGGCACTGATGCTGCCCCCCTCCACCCCCGACGGCGAGGGGCCGCACCCTACAGCAGGCTGTTGGGCCTCCCAGGCTCAGGGCCGGGCCCGCCACGCTCCCGCTGGTGGATTTTCTGGTGCTGCAGCAGGTGCTGCTTTTGGACAAAGCTCTTGTCGCACTCAGGGCAGCTGTAGGGCCGCTCGCCGGTGTGGATGCGCTGGTGCCGCACCAGGTCGGATGGGTGGCTGAAGCTCTTGCCGCAGTAGCCACAGATGAGGGAGCTCCGGCTCTTCCGCCAGGGGATGTGGCCAGGCAGCGCCACCAGGCTGTTGGGTGAGAACCTCTCCTGGATTCGAGGGCCAGCGCTGGGCCCCTCCTGCAAGTGACAGCGCTGGTGGGTCACCAGGCTCACCCTGCAGCTGAAGCTCTTCTGGCACACATCACACCGGTGCAACTTGGCCCTCTTCGCCTGAGGCTTCAGCTGTGGCCTGGGCCTGAGGCTTTCCTCAGGCTCCGCATCGGGGTAGGACGCCCACCCCATGTGGCCCCGCAGATGTGCAGCCAGCTGTTGCTTGTAGCAGAAGCTGATGTCACACTCCGAACACTCGTAGGGGCCGGAATTGCTCCTTTTCAGTTTCAGGCCCTGCCCACATTCCTGACCCAGCTGCGCCTGCCTGTGGGATTTCTGGTTTGGGGAGCAGCCCAGAGTTCTGCCAGTGGCAGGGTCTCTACTGCCCTCCAGGGGCTCCTCCAGGTTAGAGTCCCCGGGACCTGGTTCCAAGAGGGCAGAACTGCCCTGCCCATCCCAGAGCTCAGTCTGCACTGGGCCCAGGAAATCCGGCTCCTCAGCCGCGCCTGGGAACATGCAGCCTTCCAGCTGGCTCGGCACCTCGGGTCTGAGCACTGTCCCATCTGCTGCAAAGAAGACCAAGAGAACATCACACTCCAGCACTACATCTGAACATTCTGGAAGGGCTCAAGTCAAAGCCCATAGGAACACAGGAATTAGTACAACCTGGGAGAGAGGACACTAACTAGGCTCCAATACTTATAAAAAACTAAATTATGAAAAAAAAACCCACAGGAGTCGGGGATTTAGCTCAGTGGTTCCGCCACCTGCCTCACAAATGCAAGGACCTGAGTTCGATCCCCAGTACCAGAAAAACCCAAAACACACAAATCTAAATTATATGCATGTACAGCATGTGGGCTGGAAATCTGAGTGGTCTACTCTTAGAGAAAAATGCTACGAGTGATAGTTCTCCAAACTCAACCTTAATCCCTGTGTAAAATAACAAAATACACTGTTAACAATTTAATTTAGGATACTGTTAAAATGACAAATTCGAACTATTAAAGAAAAACATACCAAACCTACAGCTTCAAAACCCTATCTGGCTCCTCCCTGGGTCTTCTGCCCAATGCCCACTTGCAATGCCTTTCCTTCCCACAGCTCCTCTGCCCCACCCTCTGCCCACAGCCTGTCTTGGCCTCTATGCTGCAGGGAGTGAAGAAGGGTGACCACTTGGTTTATGATGCCACCACACATGTGAAACACAAGGAGCCCAGAACCAGAACATGCAGACAAGGTCATGGACCAGCAGTGCTGGGCAGCTCCACAGTGAGACCTGCGGGTGGCAGGGGAGAGAATATTGTGAAGCACTCACCAGGGTGGGCACCGACAAGGCCCTCCTCCTCCAAGTCACCCAGCATCTCTGCACCCAGCTCTGCTTCTCCTTCTGGCTGGCCAAGGACTTCTGGGTTGGAAACAGCACAGCGTGAGCCCAGAGAGAGAAAAGCTCACTCCACTCTGGTCAACTGCACACGAACAAAGTGACCACTGGCAGGGAATCGATACTACAACTTCTGAAGAAGAGTCGAAGGCTACTGTCACCATCACATCCCCCTAGCACTTCAGGACAATGGGACAATTCTGGCCAGGCAGTGGCTGAGACAACACTGCCTTTGTGAGGAGTGCTGGGCTCAGGGAGCAGGCTACAGGGCCCAGCCCTTGCCCCCTGCACACCCTGCGCCTCCCCAGCATGTGGCTGACGTCTTGCCAAGGCTCCTTCCCGTCATCTAACTTCACCCTTGCTGAGACACTTCCAGGTAAGGCGGGTGCTGTGACAGGTAAGGGAGTAGCCCCAAAGAGCGTGTGACCCAGCTGAGGTCACAGTCCCTTCTGGCCCATTTCGACTTCTCTCCCCTCACTCTGGCCTCCAAGATACAGTGGTACCTCAGTTCACAAACGCTTTTGAGAACAACTTGGCTCACAAAAAAGTGAAAAAGTGTTTAGCAACATTTTATTTTGTTTGCAAACTCTGCATCGGGTGACAAACATGAATACAGCCATCGTTCCCACACAAACACAAATGTGGCCATCTTTTCCACAATCGTGGAACAGATTAAGTTCATGAACTGAGGCACCACTGTACTTCTCCATGGACCTATATTTTAAAGGATTTTGTCCCCTCAAAAAATGCATGTTATGTCATAGGTAATAGTTCACATAAAGATCTGGACAGACTGTGCAGCACTTCTAATTGACACAAGATAAATCTGAGACCGCAATGGCTGGCTCTGACTCTAGCCAAAGGCCAACAGAAAGTTTGGTTGGCTGTGTAGTAGTGGAACCTTACCTAGCAGACATTTTCAAGAGTGTGCTCACTTTGACAGCACATACACTAAAACTGGAACGATATTCTCAAGAGGTGATAGCGTGACTGCAGAGAAGAAACACAGGAGGCCTTTCCGAAGTCTCTGCTGGTGAGAGGATCAGGAAACACCCACTTCTCCCAGCCAGGCCAAGAGAGGAGCCAGGGCCTACCAGAGAGAGCCACAGCCACTGGGCAGGAAGTGCAGGGTGCTGGGGAGATGCAGGACAGGAACTACTCACTCAGGGAAACCAGCGCCTCGTAGTTGCTCTGCATGACGTTCCTGTAGAGCTCCTTCTGCCAGTCGGCCAGGTTCTCCCATTCCTGCTCGGAGAAGCAGACACCATCGTTCTCAAGAGCCCTAGATACCTGAAATCACGAACAGCACAATGAGCACCTTCACAGCACCATGAAGGCCAAGCCAGCATGCAATTTAGAACCTTGGGGGCTCTTCTGGCCCAACTGAATGTTCAGGAGGGCTACCTTGGGGGCCTCGCCCTTGCTGCCCGGCGGCAGCCGCAGCACCCAGAAGTTCCGGTTGCGCAGCAGGTTCTCCATGTTCTCCAGCCGCCGCTGCAGCAGCCCGTACTCCTGCAGCAGGGTCCCCAGCACGGCCCACTTCCCCTCCAGCTGGTTGCCGAGCTCCACAGCCGTCTTCTCACAGTCAGCCAGCTTCTTCTCAGCTGTCCCCGCACGGCCCTCCAGGCTCTGCAGCTGGGCAGCCTGGGACTCCATCTTCTTTTCCACGGCCTGAAGAGCAGCCACCACCGTCCACAGCGAGATCTCTGTGGTCTGGAAATACGGGCTTTTCTCTGTGGCTTGTGAAGGTGGCATGGAAGTGGTCAATGGTGTAGAACGCCGCTTTCTCCTGTGCTGAAGGATCAAAGACACTGGGTCAGTCAGACAAGGCCACTTCCAAATGCCAAGTCAAGAAAGCAACTCCGTGCAGGCTGGGAGACGAGTAACCCCTTCTCTTCCACAGAGTTAAGAGGCTGAAAAGAGCCCTTAAACCTAATTTCTTCCTCTCTTCTTGAATTATCTAGCGTGATGGAAACAATGCGAATGTCCATCAACTGGTAAATGAGTAAGAAAATAGTGGTCCACCCATCTGTATGTCCTGGGGTGTACTGTGTTTTGCCCAAAAGTTATACGGTAGCCTTAATAGCCAGTGTTTGAGTATGTGACCTCATTTAGAACAGGGTCTTTCCAGGAGTAATCAAATTATGAGATTATGGCAGCCCCTAATCCAATGACCAGTGTTCTCATAAAATAAGGGAAATCTGGGCACAGAGACACACATGGAAGACAACGATATGAAGACGTGCAGGGACATGGCCATATGAAGAGACTGGAGTTACGCTACCACCAACCAAGAAAATATGTGGGGTCACCAGAAGCTAACGTAGAAGAGGCAGCAACTTCAAAGGAATGAACACTGCAAACACCTTGTTTTGGACTTCTAGCCTCTAGGACTGTAAGATGACACAGTTCTGTTGTTGAACCCACTCTGTGACACAGTGCTGCTACAGCAGCCCAGGAAAGTAACTCACCATGCAGCAGACTACTACCCAGCAGTGAGAAAAGAACAGAGCAGACGTGACACATCTAAGTGAAAGAAGCCAGTCACAAACTCAAAGTAAAGCCGCAGACTAAATCATTCGTAAAAGTGAAAGGTGGGCAATCAGAAGCAAATGGAAGCATAACCACCCAGCAGTTAAGAATGTGAGTACCGCCAAGGAAAGTGCTTTCCACCATCTGACCAACACGTGTGGAAGACAGGAGAGACAGCATTCAGAGCCACCAGAAACCGACACTGTCATGAGACAGCTGGAGGAATGAAATATTCCAGCCACCTTAGGGAAGGACATCTCCGAAGACTCATTGAAAACCCTCTACCTAGTGCTCACTTCGGCAGCACATATTACTAAAAACCCTCTACCTAGCAACCCCACTTTGGGAATCCATCTTACTAAAATCAATGGCACTAGTGTTTAATTACATTTAAACCAAGACGATTACTGGTTAATACTCTGGAACAGTCAAAACCTGGAAATAACTTAGATGTCTATGAATAAGGGAATGGCTACATAAATTATGGCATAATCAAAGACAATTCTGTACAAGCATTAAAAGGAATTAAATATGGCTTGAAAAGTATTCACCCTAAATTGCTAAATGAAAAACCCAACTTTTGACAAAAAACATTATGATCCCATTTTCCTAAAGAGAAAATGTGTGTGTGTGTTTGTTTCAGCACACAGAAAGGTTTGAGAAGACAGTCACCATACCCTTAATATATAACCCTTAATATGGGTTATACCTTCAAGGGGAACAGAGGGACAGATTTTACTCTGCCATCCAAGATTATTACTTGGGTTTCAGTAAATACGTATTCTTCTGTAATGTAACGGTTTCTTAAATTCAATATTTAAGAATATTTCTGAAGGCAATGAGACTAGAGCAACTAAACTGCTGACCATATTTCTGGATTCTCTGGCACAGTCCTGCTTTTGAATATCATATAGTTAAATCATGACTCAAACAATATTCACGTCCTTACAGTTCAACAACCCAATCAGCATTAAACACAAAATATAGTCCTGTTGCTGGGTGTGGTGGCACATCCCTATAATCCCAGCATGGAGGCTGAGGCAGGAGGATCACCATGAGTTTGAGGCCAGCTTACGAGATATAGCAAGACGCTGTCTCCAAAAAAAAAAAAAGGGTTACAGTATTTTATCAAGCAGAGGAAGAAAAAAAGGTGTGAGGGTGTGGTACATCCAGAAGAACCTTACAGGATGACGGACATGTTCTGCTTAATAAAATACCTAGGCTGTGTTAAAATCTTCTATTGTGATGGTGAATTTTCCTTATACTTTGGTCAAATTTTTTTTTTTTTTTTTGCTTTTGTCAGTTTTGTTTCAAATATTTTGAGGTTATGTAATTTGGTGCACATAAGCTTAGAAATATCACATGGAGCTGATAAACTGAGATTTTTGCCATTATGAAAGTAGCAGTAGGTTTCTATCTCTAGCCATGTTAATATACTTGAGTCAACTTCTTTTTACTAGCACTGTTCTGGTATATTACTTTTATATCTTTTTTTTTTTGGTACCAGGGATTGAACTCAGGACCTTGCACTTCTGAGGCAGGCACAGCACCACTGAGCTAAATCCCTGCCCTTTATATCTTTTTATATTCAAACATTTCTATAGACCTATCTTCTAGTTGAACCTCTTATAAAAGCACAGTAGGATTTTCTTCCATCCTGACAATCTTTGCCTTTTAATTAGAACATTTAGTTCATTTGTATTTATTGTAATTGTTTATTTATTTTTTCCCTTTTTGGGCTATTTATCCCATCCTTCTTTTTATCTTCTCTGTTGCCTTCTTTTAATTTTTTTTTTTTTTTTGGTATCCGAGATTGAACTAATGACCTTGCACTTGCGAGGCAGGTGTGATGCCACTGAGCTAAATCCCTGGCTCTTAATTTTTTTCTTAATCTTTTATTCTTCCTTCTAATTTGTAAATTACATAATAATTTGTAAGTTATGTAGTCTTTTAAGAGTTATCCTAGAAATTACAGGATGCATACTTAAAGACTTTAAACATGTGAATTCTGATCATCTCTTCCTTACTTCTACAGAAATGTCATGTGTTTAAATTCTCTTTGCTTTTAACTCCACAAGAAATTACTGCTGTTCTATTCAGCTAATATTTGTTTAGATTTACCCATTTTCATAAATCATCACACCTTCTTACACTTTTAGACTTTCCATTTGGAATGATTTTCCATTTACCTAAAGTATATCCTTTAATGACTATATTTGCGATTTTTTTTCCTTTGAGACAGGATCTCAATATGTAGTTCAGGCTGCCCTTGAACTCATTATGTTGCACAGGCTAGCCTCAAACTTACAGAGATCTTCCTGCCTCAGCCTTCTGAATGCTGTGATTACAGGCACATGCCACCACATCTAGCTGTTTTATCTGAGAATGTCCTTATTTTACCTTTTTTTTTAGAAAAAGCTTTGGTTGCATATAAAACTCTGCGATTATAATTTTGTATTTTCTTTCCACCCACTGACAATATTCCGACATAAATTTTCCATCTTTTCTGTTGAGAAGCTGGCCCCCTTTGTTTTACTACAGTTTATGTAAAAGTAACCTTTTCTGTCTGGTTGCTTTTAAGAAGTTTGTCTTGTGTTTTGTGCTTTCACCATTAGGTGTCCATGCAGGAATCTCTTTTTGTTGATCCTGATTGACATCCACTAACTTTCTATGTATTGGTATCAGTCCTACAATATCAATCTTCAGCCGGGGATTTAGCTCAGTGGTTTTGCCACTTGCTGCGCAAGCGCAAGGACCCGAGTTCGATCCCCTGTACCAAAAAAAAAAAAAAAATCAACCTTCAGCTACTCATCAAATACAGCCTCCAGTACAATGTGTACTGCATGTGTTTTCCTTCTAGAATTCTGATTAGATGAATCTAACTTTTCTTGTTCCACCTTCCATATTCTTTCTGCATCATGTTTTCCATCTTTTTCTTCTGTGCTGCTTTCTGTACAATTTCTTTTTTTTTTTTTTGGTACCAGGGATCAAACTTGGGTCCTTGCACTTGCAAGACAGGCAGTGGAACCACTGA